CTCAAGTGACCTGTCAGCATCAGCTGCCAGCACTGACACCGACAATCCCAGCTCTGGAATGAGGTTTGGTGGCAGCAGGCAGTGGCTTCGCTGGGTCAGGAGGGAGAGCAGTCACGAAGGGGAAGAACCAGCAGAGACACAGAGAGGGACCAGGCTGGGAGAACAGGGAACACAGCAGAATCGAAGGGCAGAGGCCTGAAGAGCACATCAGCTGCAGGTGGTTCTCAGAGCTCATCCTTGTGGGATCTGCTCTTGGAAGAGGCAGGAGAAGCTCCCAGAGCATTCAGTGCCTCAGCACAGGCAGTTCCTGAGCACTGACGCACTAAAATATGCTCTGTACCAAACTTATTCCCTATAGCAGTCACAGCTGGAAAGCTCCCCCAGATGAAAGAACAAACAGCTCCATGTTTGGGTTTGAATCTTACCAAATTCCATTCCCTGAGAGCAAATTTTTGGGGCAAACCCACTCAGGGTGTGAGGTCACTGGGGCAGATTTCTGGTGTTGTCCAGAAATCCTCGTGCTCCAAGAATGCAGGTTACACAGATCCTGAGTTCTTGACTTACAGCCTAATATTATTTTTTCATAATTTTTGTGGATTTTGTCCCATATTTATAAGGCAGTGAAGGATTTCTGGTGAAATATTTCATATAAATCGCTCAGACACTATAATTTTAGAGTCTGGTTCAGGAATAAAAATGTTTTCTAAAGGTATGTCACTCTGAGTGATGGCTCTATCAGTCATAGAGTGATCACTGAGACGACAAACAAGCTGCTACTTGACTGGAACTCTCTGCCCTGAGAGGAGGGGCTGAGTGTGTCAGCCCCGTTAATCCCCCAGCAGAGGGAACAAAAGGGACTGTGCAGCACAGACATGTCAGGGAATGTCTTCCCTGTGAGAGATGACAAGCTAAGGAGCTCGTGGAGAGAACTCAGACTGTGCAAAGGAAGAGTCTGTGTGTCAAGATGTTGGATAAGGAACCTCAGAGGGAAGATAGTGGGAACAGAATAAAGGCTTGAAAGAGCTGGTTTATTATTGTTTCAGCATCTGATCAGCTTCTCTTTCCTTGAACAGACTAGAAATCGTTGTCTGAATTACATTATGGGGTGTGATCTGTATTGGCTGCCTGATTTAAGTACAGAATCATAGAATCATAGAATCAACCAGGTTGGAAAAGACCTCCAAGATCATCAAGTCCAACATCTAGTGGTCAGTAGACCATGGCACTGAGTGCCACATCCAGTCTCAGCTTGAAAACCTCCAGGGATGGGGAATCCACCACCTCCCTGGGCAGCACATTCCGACATCTGATTGCCCTCTCTGTAAAAAATCTTTTCCTAATATCCAACCTAACCTTCCCCTGGCAGAGCTTGAGTCTGTGCACTCTTGTATTCCACAGAAAGAAGCAGCTTTAATCTGCTCCTGGTGTTTGCAACTCTCCAACTGCTACCAACCCAGAGTGACTCCCAGGGCACTTGGAAAAGCACCTAAGTGTGTTTCACCAGTGACTTTCCCAGGGAGTTATCAAGCCTGAGTGAAAGAAGACTGAATGAAAACTCCCCCAAGTTTCCTGTTGAAATTTATGGGGTTTTCTAAAAGTGCATTTGCTAGTAGGCTGTGGATTTAGGGATTTGATGTTCTGGTTGTGGGTTCACTCAGCTGAACAGCCCTTGGCAGTGTGTGCACACTAGGGCACTGACATTACAGGGGTCTTAAAGAGCTTGTTTTATCTCCAGGAGGGTTTGTCTGAACTTGTTTCCTGAGCCACTAACCCTTGGAGACACACAGAGCTGGCAAGGAACGCAGAGCCATTAATCTGCCCAGCAGCAAAACTGAAGGGCTGTGGCAAGGGGCCAGGTTTGGTTTGAACACGTCTCCCCAGCACCGAGCTCCACTCAGGCTCAGCTCAGGGCCAGGCTGGGGGGCACAGCACAGCTGGACTGGCCATTGCCTTTCTCCCAAGGACACTTCTGGTGAAGAGGCTCTGCATTTCCCTGAGCATTGACTGGAACTGCCAGAAACCCTCAGATTATTCCAACCACTGTGAGCCTTGGGTGATCCAAAATCCCCAGCCTGAGTTCCAAGCTCAGTTTGTGTTGATATGTGCTAAGAACAACTCTCTGCTTATGATGTTGTTAGCAAATTCATCAGTTTTCTTCTTTAAGCTTTACTTATGGGTTTTTTTAGATTTATTTTTATAATCATTTTGGTGGTTCCAAACTAGAGATGAGAGGAATTCATCCCCATCTTCCCTTCTCCTCCTCTCATCCCTCCTTTCCTCATACCTCAGTTCCGATGTCCTGTCCTACCAACCCCCTGCTCTGAGTGTGACCTAGGCAGTGTCACCTGTGCAGAGGAAGAGGCTTTCCCTGTGGCACCACAGGATTGCACACACCTCAGCCCTGGTGGCACAGCCCAGCAAGGTACACAGACCTCCCAAGCCTCCTCAAAACCCTCCCAAAGCTGCTTTCCCACCATTGTGCAGGATGAGCAGGGTTGAAACTCTGAATTCCACTGCTGAATGATCAGCTCTGTCGTGGATTGGAGTTTCAGACTTCAAGTGGAGCATCAAGGTGACTCGACCCTTATTTTGCAGTATTACTCCATTTCTTGGTGCATATTGGCATTCAACACATTTGTTGCTATCAGAACAGTTTCAACTTAGTCCCATTTTCTTTCTGTTTTCCAAAGCAACAGGATCTTAGTCCTCCCACATTTCTTCCTTTGAGTTATTTCAGTCCCATGTTACCCTTCACAACCACTGACAGATTAACTGTGCCCACTGTCCCTTGCACACTGATTGTTCCTCAGGCAATGCCATGAACAGATGCTTTTTTTTTTTGCACTAAAAATTCAGACTCAAAAATCTAAACGCTAGTTCCAAGCAAAAATCAAGAAGAGCAACATTTCACCTTCAATTCCAACATTTCAAAGGGAAAAATAAGGATAGCTAAGAAGAAATAATGGTGAGGTGGAGAGATGATTGTACATTTTTCACTGAAAGGAGAATTTGACTTTAACTTGGCTTTTAGATGTTGATTTTCTGAGCGTAGCCATGGTGAGTGTTGTAAATGGGCAAGTGGGTGGGGCTGAACTCACTTTGTTTTTCCATTCTTAAATGTCAGAGTAAACTCCAAGTTTCAGAACTATAGCCTGAAGAAAAAACACTCCTCTGATTCATGCCTTTTGTCTAATGAAAAAAGAAACCCCAAGCCCCTGAGATGTGCTGCCAGCACCGTTTGTCAGGAATGTCATCATAATTGGCCTCACCTCTAGGGAGGAGGATTTGGGAGGGAGGGCTGCACTTGGGTTGTCTCCCAACACCCAATCTTGAGGGTATAAAAGAGGCACCAGGGCAGTGAAGGCACAGACTCTTCTCTTTTCACCAGGCTGCACCACTGTCCTTCGTGTCTTCTCTTGCTGCAGCTATGGCCACTTCCTTCATGAGCTCCTCTTCTACCTATGGTGGTGGCTTTGGGGGTGCTGGGGGCAGCTCTCGCCTCTCCTCAGTGCGATCAGGAGGAGCCTACCGTGCCCCGAGCATCCACGGAGGCTCCGGCGGCAGAGGCGTCTCCATCTCCTCGGCCAGGTATGTCTCCTCTTCGGGAGGAGGCTATGGTGGTGGCATGTGCTCAGGGTTTGGTGGTGGCTATGGAGGAGGCTACAGCAGCTTGGGAGGTGGGGCAGCCTGTGGCTTTGGAGGGGGCGCTGGATTTGGAGGCGGCTCAGGCTTTGGCGGATGCTTTGACGTTGGTGGTGGCTTTGGTGGCGGCGATGGCCTCCTCTCTGGCAACGAGAAGATAACCATGCAGAACCTGAACGACCGCCTGGCTTCGTACCTGGACAAGGTGCGAGCCCTGGAAGAGGCCAATTCCGATTTAGAAGTGAAGATCCGAGACTGGTACCAGAAGCAAGCGCCCACCAGCCCAGCACGTGACTACAGCAACTACTACAAGATCATCGAAGACCTCCGAGACAAGGTATGACCTCCATATGTAGAGGAGGCAGAAGAATGCAAGGGAATCATGGAACTGCAGATTCCATGTGTCTAAAATAAGCTAGAATAAGTACCAAAGAAATGCTGAATTCCTCAACCCCAAGTACATTGAGGTCATGAGTGATCTAGCAGAAAAGAGAAGCTTCTTCACCAAATATGTTGTCCTGACCATGTAGTGGTTGTTGAAATGAAAATAATTGCACTAAAGTTGGCAAAATGTGTTTAGAATTGTCAGTATGTTTATTCAGGAATCAAATTGTAGAGAATGTGACAGGTAGGCCCTGAAGGCTGAGAAGGTTGTTCTGGCTGCAGATAAGATCTGGGGTTGTACAAACACATTTCCCAGTCATGGTTCTCCTTCGTGTTACACAGAGTGTCTCCGCTCTCTGCTTTGCTTGTGGAGTGTGATATTTCACCGTTACTCACGGGAACCTTTCCCTATTTGTGAATTCCCAGATCCTTGCTGCTACCATTGACAATTCCAGGGTGATCCTGGAGATCGACAACGCCAGGCTGGCTGCCGATGACTTCAGACTCAAGTAGGTTCACATGGAGCACATTTGGCTTCACTCTGCTCGTCTCCCTCTCTCAAAACAGTTCCCTGAGGTTTGGTATTACTTTTTATGTAGAAAATAAAGTTGTTCAGTCACTGAAGGACACATTTAGAAGTTATGGGCAGGTATTTTTCCTTGTTAACTTCTGATGAAAAAACCTGGAGTGGGTTGGATTATAAAGGTCCTTGTGCAACTCTTCCCCTGCAGTGATGTACCTGCAGGTTGATGTTTTCCCTCTGGTGTCCCAGGCAGCCTTGGGCCAGCTGTGCTTTCCTCCACACCACACCTGAGAGGACACTGCAAACAGCCTGTCCTGTGTGACAGTGTTTCTGTTGATGATGATGATAAACATTATTAGGTTCTGCAAGGTGGAATGTCATGTCCTCCTCAAGGACAAAATCACATGGCAATTCATCTGCTTCCATGGTGGGAAGAACCACCTTTACTCCCTTTACCCTTCTCAGTCTGTATGTTCTCATTTACAGCCTCTGTTCCTCCTACATTCTATGTAAAACTTGATCATTTTATAGCTCTACTGAACACAAACTCGGACATGTTCCAGTGATGGTTTGTGTTTTGAACTGCAGGTATGAGAATGAGCTGTTCCTGCGCCAGAGTGTGGAGTCTGACATCAACGGCCTGCGCAGGGTCCTGGACGAGCTGACCCTGTCCAGAGCCGACCTGGAGATGCAGATCGAATCCCTGAAGGAGGAGTTGGCTTATCTGAAGAAGAACCACGAGGAGGTGAGAGTCCTGGCAGTGCAGAGAGGAGATCATCTCCCTCTGGAATTTCTGTCTCTTGTGGATGAAACTGACATGTCGGTTACATGTAAACACAGAGAGAGCACGAAAACAGAAGTTGTGGGAAATGTTTGATGTGTGTTCCAGCTGTGACACTTGATAGCACAGGTCCTGCGTGCCCCAGCACGGATCGCTGTGGGCAGGGAGCGTGTGAGATGAGAGAGTCTGAACTTTCCGTGTCCTCTGCCTTCTGCCCCTGCAGGAAATGAAGGAGTACTCAAACCAGCTGAGCGGCACAGTCAGCGTGGAAATGGATGCAGCTCCTGGCATCGACCTGACCAGGGTTCTCTCCGAGATGAGGGAGCAGTACGAAGCTCTGGCTGAGAAGAACCGCAAGGATGCCGAGGCCTGGTTCTTCACCCAGGTACAGCCACACCAGTGAACAGCAGAGCAGTGCCCCGGCAGGTCCTTCCTCAAGGTCATGGAAGATTCTTGTACACAGTATGTATGTAATTTTACCGCTGTTTTCCTTGCAGACTGACGAGCTGAACCGTGAAGTTGCCACCCACACGCAGCAGATACAGACCAGCAAGTCGGAGATCACAGAGCTGCGCCGCACGGTCCAGAGCTTGGAGATCGAGCTCCAGTCCCAGCTCAGCATGGTACGGAGCTGCCCGAGGGCATCCCAGGGCACTGCCGTGTGCTCTCCCCTTCACAGAGTCATAGAATAGAATCTTAGAAGGTTGGAGGAGACCTCTAAGATCATTGAGTCCAACCATTAACCTGTCACTGCTGGAACCCCTAAACCATATCCTCCAGCACCAGGTCCAGACACCTCTTAAACACCTCCAGGGATGGTGACTCCACCACCTCCTTGTGCAATCTTCCAGTGCCTGAACACCCTGACAGGGAAAATATTTTTCCTAACATCTAATATGAATGTCCCCTCTCTCAGTTTATGACCATTCCCTCCCTCGCTGTCTTGCCTCTCCTTGACTCTCCCTCTGTGGGTCAAACCTGCTCTCTAACCCCTTGTGACACTGTTTTAGAAAGCTGGGCTGGAGGCCAACCTGCGGGACACGGAGGGCAGGTACTGCGCACAGCTCGCTCAGATCCAGGCGCTCATCACCAGCGTGGAGGAGCAGCTGGGCGAGCTGCGCTGCGACATGGAGCGCCAGAACCAGGAGTACAAAATGCTGATGGACATCAAGAGCCGCCTGGAGCAGGAGATCGCCACGTACCGGCAGCTGCTGGAGGGGCAGGACTCCCAGTAGGTTATCTGACAGGCCCTGGGGGTAGATGTGGGTGATAACAGACACCTTGCAGTGCAGGAGCTGTGCCCGCCAGGCTGGCTCCATAACCACACTCACTGCACTGGCAGAGTCCCCAGTGCTGCCATAGCTCCAGCTAAATCTGCAGCTCAGTGGTGCTGGAGATCTGAAGCTGTCAATGTCACCATTTTGACTTTAATGGATTCCAGAAGGCACCAGGCACCATGTGTGGGTGTCTCACATAATCCTCTGATTGCACAGGAGTAAGAGCCTGAAACAACCTATAAAAACCTGTTCTTGGTATTTCTTTAGCTCTTGGGTTTCTACCCTTGTGCACAGAGGTTAAAATATCCATCCTCACACACCAGTGTTCCCAGCTGGAAAAGAGGTTGGGACAGACCTCAGCTTAGTCTACTAAAATCTACATTTTCATGCTCTTTTCTCATATCTGAGCTATACATGGAATTACTTCTGATTTCTGAGGAGGAATCAGCTCCTCACACAGTTTCTAGATGATGGCAGAGAGGAGCAGTGTATAGAGACATCTCAGGACAGAGAACTGGTCTGACTGCTGTTCCCTTTCCCTCTAGAGTGGGTAGGGTTGGATTTCAAAGCAGAAACCTTAACAGCACCTCTAGTAGCCACACACCTGAGGAAGCAGCCACTGAGAAATCCTGGCTGTTCACATAAGCTCCTAGATGGATCTATGGCTCTATGGGACAGGGACACGAGTGTGGGTCAGGGATGGTCATTAACCAAATATTTCTGCTTTTCTCCAGGATGTCAGGAATCAACCCCAAGGATGGTAAGGAACATTTTTATTTCACAAGGGGCTGAAATGAACAGGCAAAATAGGCTTGAACAAACCTTTTCCCCTTGGATTTCTTCTTACCACCCCATATTCCATCCTCTCTGCAATGACCCTGTTCTGTACCATGCAGAGATACTTTACTTTTTGTGCACTTTTGAAACCAGTATCTTGCCAAAACTATTGCATGAACTCCTCGTGGGATTCTGAAACACCTAAACCTCCCAAAGATTCCTGTGTTCCTCTGCTGATTACACAACACAAGATACTTCCAAATCCACATGTGATGTGCACTCCTAGGGTTTTCTGGATGAGAACCAGGAGGGAAAGTAGATAAGGCAGTTCTGCCTTTGATATGTGAAAGCTTTTGTGAGGAAACAAACAAACACCAGTCCCTGCTCAGCTCCTCAGGGGCTTGGCAGGGTGTTGGTTTTTTCTTCCCTATTTACTTATTTTCTCCTCCTGCAGCAGCATTTAACAGAGGTCGCAGTGGTGTGGATGAGGATGGAAAACCTGGTTCCAACCGCGACAGGAGGTTCCCATAAAGACATGCTGAATCCCTTCTTGCATGTGATGCCACCTGAAACCAGTGCCTTGGTCCTGGCTAATGACAAGAGAAATCACCTTTCACTTCCCCCAGA